AACCGAAAGCCTTTATAACAGATTATTTTAGCACAGCCCTAAAAACACACAAGTGAGCAACAACTTGCAGTATAGAAGATGAAACAGCTAGAAGCTAAAAATCGCTTAAATCAGCTTCAACAGCCAAAAATACGCAAAACCTCACTCTCACAATTAACCTCCCTGCATGTCCTCCACCCCATCATAAAGAGAACAATCTTAATCTGCCACACATGCATTTCATAATGGAAAGCTCCAAAATAAAAATCCTGGGCAGCAAAAATCATTGGCTGTGATATCAACATGATGATAAAAAACTCCACGTTACTATACAAAAAGAAAGCCGTTTTCAACATTTTCTTTTCTAGCTTTTGATTATTTTTTTAATAGCAGCATGAATCTCAAAGTAAATTAAGTCTATGAGCTTGTATTCCTTAGAAAGTATTGCTAATATATTAAGAATCCGCAGAAATCTCTGCCAGGTTCCTCATTTTAACAGACGAACAAAGGCCAGACAGCTCACAACATTGGGTAAACTTGTACTATCAAAGGAACATGGATGGGAATGGTAGCAAGATCAGAATCCAGAAAGAATGGAAAGAATGATACTAAAAGGGTCAAAACTGTGGAAAACAGGCAGAGCAGCCCCTAACCACTAAAGAACATCCCTCTCTGGAACCTGTACGGAATCCCAAGGTTTCTTGAGTTTCATCATACCATTTTCTAACGGTACAAGATAAAGTATAAATCTATTTCTGCCTTACATCTTATGTAAATATGTATTACTGCTTATTTCATCTATGCCAGAAGCTATATATATTTGTATATAGAAATATAAATGCTATTTATATTTTCACTTAGCATATGAAATACTTTTTATAGTACTTTATACCCTGCAAAATCAGAGCAGACTTGCACAGGCACAAAAAAAACCCCAAAGATACAACTGTTTTAAAAAAATCTAGACAAATTCCAATCCATGCTTCAAAGCATACAAATACCAGATGCATTTAAAGAAACACTCCCTCACTTTATTCCCTCCAACATGCTCATACCCAGAAAGTGTAAACACAAGCTCTGACAGAGTCAAAAGCACTCCCCCAAGGAGGCAGTTTAAGGGGACATTTAGACCTCTTAGTAACAGGTAACATCAGTGATCCTCATTCTTAACACAGCATTTACTTCTCTGTTGGCAAATCTCAAAACTAACAGAACTTTTTTCTCCTTTAGTGAACACTTGAGATCTACTGAAGAAGCAAACATACAAGATTTGGAGTCTGCACAAAGCTGATGGCATCATCTTATTTAGAACACCTAAAAATGCTTTTAGAATTTTGCTAGGGGGTTTTTGCTTGTCTTTTAAAGAAAAGCAATGCTGTTTGAAAAGCATTTCTCAATTCCAATGCTGTTTGTAAATTCAGACTGACATTTCTGCAATGGAAACGTGAAGTAAAACCAATCCTCTTTGTGTTATTTAAGCTTTAAAAGCTGCAAAGACATTAATGAAAAAAACAAGTTTCAATCCAATTATGGGAACTACCACAATTTCACAGACCGCAGGCAAGTTTCTTATTGTAGCAAAAGTACTTTTAACAACATCCCAGTGCAATTTCACCAAGTTATCAATCGCTGTTTAATTTCTATAAAATTACTTGCATTATTTAAAGATAACCACAATTTAAGACACTGAAAATTAAAGAAGTACTCACACTTAAATTGAAAAAAATAGGTTTGGGTTCACTGAGCTTAAAAGGATGATTATAGAAAGGACGTTCTTCCTCCTCTTCATCAGAAACATGAGGTTTGTTCACTATCACATCATCTGTGCTTTGAGCAATCTTCTTGCATTTCTGGAAAAAAAAAAGGGGGGGGGGGGGGCTGGGGACATGACAGCTCTGAATAAACCTGGACTTTCAACCGAAACATATAAAAAGAACATTTTTACAAAAAAGTGTTTTTCTTTTCTAAAGCAGGAGGTGTAACCTGAGAAAATCTTCTAGCAATGTCATCAATATATGCACTTTTGACATTTTACACATATTATTACACCTACCTAGGTTTGCTAGGCGCTCATGCAGCAAGTAATTTCACAGACATAAGATTTCAGCAGCATACTGCCAAACTTGCTACACACTGCTAGTTGCAGAACGTGTGTCTAAGGCTGCAAACATTCCAGAGTAGGAACTCACTGGTTGTTTGGCATCCCACATAACTAGCATATTGCAATCCGATAGAAACTTCAGTATAGCTCACAAAACTATACAGGAAAAGCTAAGAATTAATAGTTACTAATTCTAAGTTCCACTGGTAGTGCAGGGACCTAGTCAGAAGCCATGGCTCCAAAAGATCTCAGATTTCTTGTGAAATATTTTGCCATTGGCCAGGTACACAAGACATCCCCATTTTATATTCCACAGAAGTTGAATATAAAACATATAGGAGCTATGGGGATACTGCAGTCAAATGAGAAGAGAGCCTCCAGGGAAAAGAGGGGAGGAGAAAAATTTTGATGAATTAATGATTTTCATCTTTAATGATCATGGTTATCTGCACTGAGTGTTTATCAGTAGCAACTATAACTTAGTCCAAAACGCATCTGAGAACATTATAGTCCAGTATCATGCTTCTATTATGTCCCCATTCATGAAAAGTATACTTACAAGACTTACAAGACATTTGAGGACATAATATTTGAGGAAATAATACTGGGAAAGTGAAGCCATCATCTGTTTTGATTCTGGTTCAAGTTCATACCATTGTAAGTCACCTGGGTTTGATGACCTGATTGTTGGCATTTAAGGAGCAAACAGGCAGCTCGATCACTAAGAATCAAGACACGTTGATGGCACTGTTCTCATCAGTCTTTATAAAAAAAGATTCCTGCACTCTCGTGTGCTAAGGCGCCTCCAAACAATGACTGAAGCACGTTCTTTAGGCAACAGGAAAAGCCTGCACTATTTGGAAAGCTCATCAACAAAACGTATTATGTAGAGTCATTAGTTGGCTCTCAACTAAGTGGAAGCAGTTTGTCCAGTTTTCAGGTTACATTGCAGAGAGGAAAGACAATACAGCTAGCTTTGCAAGAAGCTGAACGGCTCTGGAAGGGCTCTCCACTTGGGCACACTACCATATGACGACAGCCCAGACTGCTTCTGTGGCTAATTCTGATCCAACAGAACAGGAACATCATCCAACAGATTCCCACAACTGGAAAGGGCAAGGAAGGGGCAGGTTTTGGGCTTCCAGATTAGCACTAGCTACACTAGATCTTGGTCAGGTTACATGAAGAACCACATGAGATGTCTGCACAATCTCAGCTTTTTTACTAATAAGTATTTCTGCTTCCACTAGCCCACACACAACTAAGAAATTACTTTTCAGCAATTAGACATTGCTTAATTTCAGATGTTATTTCGATAAACAGGTATTTCAGGACTGTCACACTGATGATGCAATTAAAAAATAAAAAAAAAAACACCAAACAAAAAAATCCCACTTTTTTTTTCCATTCCAAATATTCTCTAGTTTCTGGGGGAAAAAAATATAGGGGCAAATTAGCAAATTGAACAAGGTAGCATTACTACAGTAAAAGGACAAGTAGCCATTTTTTCTCCACAATCAGAACAAAAACATCCCATTTGTAGACTTGAACTGCAACAGGACAGAATTGCAATAATTTTCAAAAAATATCTTAGAGTACATATTAAAATATATAGAACTATGTTAAGTGGGCAGTAGATTTTTAACCCAGAGATAACATTTAATGATGCAAAATTCACTAACAAAAGTAAGAACATAAATAACTAACACACCAGAACCAAAAACCAGTAGTGAAAGCTTTGGTTCTTATTAACAGGACTGCAAGGAGAACTACCAATTTCTACAAAATTAAAATAAAAACAAACAAACAAACAAAAAAAAGCAAAAGAATTGGATTTCATGCATTTCCATGGAATTAAAAAGCCTGTTTTCATGACTTAAAAAAAACTGTCTGGAGAATAAGGGCTCAAACCACAAGCCATCTTACACGTGAACCAAGCACACAGAATGACAGCTTGCCTAAAAGTTACAAAAAACCAATTTGCTTATTTTCAGGTTTGATACTGTTGTTCTCGCTTACCTCAGTGAGCTCCTTTAGTGTATCTCTTGATGACTTCTGATTGGCTTTGTCGTCTTTCTTTTGAGATAACAAAGGCATCAGGCTTGGTGGTAAGGGAACACCAGACTTAGCACACATGGCAGCTGCATTAGCTTTGGCTATTTCAAGTAGCTGGGCCTTGTCTAAAAAAAATTTTTTTTTTAAGAAAAATTATTATTTTTACAGATTCTTGTTTTAATAATAAATAAGCATTTCTGGCAGACTAAACAAAGTACAAAGGGAAAACACAAGATTTTACCCACCCTGTGCATTTTTATGTTCTGTGAAAATAACTAAAATTGTACTTAGTTGCTCCGGACTTTCTAAAATTTTGTCTACTCAACAGACAAGTGAAATTGCAAATTTAACACAAAGCACAGGAGTCCAAATTATAGCACTCAAAATCCTCTAAATCCCAGAAGTTCTGATGCCTATTTTACTTCACTGACTCATTCTAGTTTTGGAAATACTGGGTCATTTCTAGACAGCAGAAATTCCAAAGTCTACTTCCTAGCTATCTCTGAAAAGGATTCAAAGGTCTTGAGGACATCCCCTCAAGTCCCCCAGTACATAGCCTGAAAGCTACTTACAACAGAACAAGCACTGAATAAAATGGGTACTTGTGTAAAATACAATTACACACAACACTGTTAATAAAACAGTATTTTGCTTTATTAAGGAAAAAAGCACATGCAGCCCTATCAAAGAAATAGGGAATGAAGTACATCTTGTTTATTTGCAAACTGCCAGATAAATGAGTTACCACTATCCCTGCAAGCATACAGCTTTGCAAAAATCCTAAAAGGACAACATTGCTTTACTTCTTAAACAATAAAAGTATATAGATACAGAGGTGCTGCATAATCAAAGCATGAAGGCAGAGTCAAGGATGCTCATTAATTCTCATGTTCTGTACAAAAATACTTCTCTGGTAGAGGGGCTTCCGTGGTAACTTTATGAGACAGGACTAAAAGGATCAGAACCTGAGGTCCACAAAAGGAGGCTTCCTCACACACTGTAAAAGAGCTTGTCTCTCAAAATTAAAACCTTCTTTCTCCTTACATAACTTACTACCTAAGGAAGCTACAAGCCTCTCTTCCTCCAGTCACAGCGAAAAGATGTAGTTCATTAGCATTTTTTCTTTTATTTTCCAATCAGCTGGGTCTGGGACTATTTTCAGAAAGGAGTGTCCCTTCCCATTAAGTTCTTACCATGGGAAATCGGCAAGACAGAGTAATGGAAACAGATAAACAAACATTACAGCTGATTAAAGAACTAAGAAGCCTCCAACTGGCGCTTACTTTCAAATGCTCTTTCATGCCCAATTTGTTCTCAGGAAAACTAGAACTTCATAAGTTCTACATACAGAGTACCTGGCCTTTACTAACTACTACAATGAACAGTGTTCCTCAAGACTGCAACATACTACCTTTGTATAAAAGCTCTATAACAAAGACATAACCTGCTCTAAATACACTGTCATCCACATGGTAAGCATTGATTCAGCTCCAACATAAAAGTTCCTTCTGGAAGTCACTGCCTAAAAGTAATGCACAAAAAAACTTCCAAGAAATTCCTTACGAATGCTACAGAGATATGTTAAAATAAGACTATGTAAATGAACACATTACCACCTAACCATGGAACTACTGAAAATAAAATTATCACTTACCCAAGTCTGTAAGACGTTTAGGTGATCTGCTTGAAAATCGTTCCGATGACCTTGACCTACGACGATCAGGTGATCTGCTGTATCTTCTTCTCCCTGAAGATCTTGATCGCCGTAGTCGAATTGGTGACCTACTAGAGCTCCGTCTTCTTCCTCTTGACCTTGATCGCCTTTGACGAATAGGTGTTCGACTCCTGCTCCGTAATCTGAGTGATATTCTACGATCTCTTGAATCTGATCTTCTTCTTCTTCTGTCAGTAGATCTTGATCTATTTCTCTGAGATCTCTTACGCCTGTCTCTCGATAAAGAACGCCGCCTTCTTGATGCTGACCTTGACCTACTCCTCCTTCTGTGCCTTGAACGTGACAATGAGCTAGACCGAGAGCGACGATTAGATTTTGATCTTGACGCTCTTCTCCGTGTTACGGATCTGGAGTGATTCCGTCTAGAGCGAGATTCTGTATCGTATCTCTGGGACCTGTGCTGAGAAGACCTGGAGCGTCTGCTTCTAGATCTCCGTGAAGACTCTTTGTCTGCTGTTTTTTCAACAGATTTGGATCGACTCCTTTGGCGAGCAGTGGATCTGGAGCGTCTACGTCTAGACCTCCGTGACGACTCTTTGTCTGCTGCTTTTTCAACAGATGTCGATCGACTTCTTTGGCGAGCAGTGGACCTGGAGCGTCTACGTCTAGACCTCCGTGAAGATTCTTTGTCTGCTGTTTTTTCGACAGATGTGGATCTACTCTTCTGGCGAGCAGTAGACCTGGAACGTCTACGTCTAGATCTCCGTGAAGACTCTTTGTCTGCCACTTTTTCAACAGATGTGGAACGACTCTTCTGGCGAGTCGGAGATTTTGAGCGTCTGCTTACAGATCTTCGTGAAGACTCTTTGTCAGATATTTTATCAACAGATTTGGATCTAGATTTTTCACGTTCAGAAGACTCAGAACGCCTACTTTCAGGTATAAAGGATGAGTCCTGTTCCTCCAACCTCTCAAGAGGCATGGAATCCTGTTTATCTTCATCTGGCAAAGAGGGCTCCGCATCCTCACCCTCTTCACCGGTGGTAGACCTTGACTCATGCTCATCTGACGATGTGGAGTCTCTTCGTTCAGCTGTCAAGGAGGGCTCCACATCATCTGCTTCTTCACCAGTGGTAGACCTCGATTCACGCCCATCAGGGGATGTGGAACGTCTGTGTTCAGTTGTCAAGGAGGGTTCCATATCCTCCACTTCTTCACCAGTGGTAGACCTTGACTCCTGCTCGTCTGATGATGTGGAGTCTCTTCGTTCAGCTGTCAAGGAGGGTTCCATATCCTCCACATCTTCACCAGTGGTAGACCTCGACTCATGTTCATCTGAGGATGTGGAGTGTCTACGTTCAGCTGTCAAGGAGAGCTCCCGGTCCTCTGCTTCTTCACCAGTGGTTGACCTTGACTCACGTCCATCAGGAGACACGGAGCGTCTATGTTCAGCTGTCAAAGACGGTTCCAAATCCTCTATTTCTTCACCAGTTGTAGACCTTGACTCACGGTCATCAGAGGATGTGGAGTGTCTACGTTCAGCTGTCAAAGAGGGTTCCCCATCTTCTATATCTTCACCAGTGGTAGACCTTGACTCGTGGTCGTCAGAGGATGTGGAGTCTCTTCGTTCAGCTCTCAAGGAGGGTTCTGCATCCTCTACCTCTTCCCCAGTGGTAGACCTTGACTCATGCTCATCGGAAGACACGGAGCATCTACGTTCTGTTGTCAAAGGCTGCTCCAGATACTCTGCTTCTTCACCTATACTAGATCTTGACTCGTGCTCATCAGGGGACGTGGAGCGCCTGTGTTCAGGTGTCAAAGAGGGCTCCAGATCATCCATTTCTTCATCTATGGTAGATTTCTGGTCATGACCCTCAGGCGACACAGATCGTCTATGTTCAGAAGTCAAAGAGGACTCTAGACCCTCTTCCTCCATGGGAGATTTCGGCTCATGACCTTCCTGATACGAGGATGTGGAATGTCTACGTTCAGATATCAAAGAGGGCTCTAGATCCCCTGTTTCTTCAGCAGGGCCAGATTTCACACTGTAACCATCAGGGGACATGGAGCACCCACTTTCAGGCATTAAAGAAGGCATTGCATCGTCCATTTTTTCAACAGGAATGGATTTCAAGTCACTGTCATCAGGGGACATGGAGGCTCTATCATTTACCATCAAAGGTTCAAGGCCGCCTATTTTTCCATCAGGGGATGCTGCATGTTCATTTTCAGGTGTTGGAGAAAGCTCCTGCATATCTGCTTTTTGAACAGAGGTGAATCTCACCTCCTGGCTCTCGAAAGACAAAAGCTGGTCATTTTCAGATGTCAAAGAAGAATCCATATCCTCTGTTTTCTCAGCATGAGTCGATCTTGATTCATACTCTTCAGGGGACAGAGCATGTTCATTTTCAGATGTCAGATAGGACTAGACTGCAGCTCCTGACATTCAGGGGACATGGTACATTCACCTTCAGACAAAGACAACTCCTGCACCTCTGTTTTTTCAACAACAGTAGACTGCAATTCCTGGCTATCAGTGGACATAGAACTTTCACTTTCAGATGTTTCAGAAGGTTCCTCCATTTCTTCTTTTTCAACAGGACTGGATCTCAAATCATGGCCTTCAGGGGATGCGTCATACTCATTTTCAGACAGCAAAGAACACTCCTGCACCTCTGTTTTTTCAGTAAGAGCAGAGAGCAACTCATGCCCTTTGGGGGATGCAGCATATTGACCGTCTGATATTAGTGAAGGCTCCTGCACCACTGTTTTTTCAGTAAGGGTAGACTGTAATCCTTGGCCTTCAGGGAAGACGGTATATTCACTATCAGATGTCAGAGAAGGCTCCTGCACCTCTTTTTCAGCAGGGCTGGCTGTCATCTCCTGGCCCCCAGGAGATATAGCATATTCGTTTTCAGACAGCAGAGAACACTCCTGTACCTCTGTTTTTTCAGCAAGGGAAGACGGCAATTCGTGATCTTCGGAAGACACAGCATATTCATTGTCAGGTACTAGAGAAGCCTCCTGCATCTCTACCTTTTCAGGAGAGCTAGATCTCAACTCCTGGCCCTCCCAAGATACAGCATATTCATTTTCAGATATCAGAGCACGCTCTTGCACTTCTGTCTTTTCAACAGCGGGTGACCCCAACTCCTGGCTCTCAATGGACACTGAACATCTTTCTTCAGACATCCGATAAAGTTCCCGCATGTCTGTTTTTTCAGCAGGGGTTGATGTCAACTCCGGGCCATCAAGCTCTATAGTGTATTCGTTTTCAGACATTTGAGAAGGCTCCTCTACTTCCACTTTTTCAAACGGGGTGGATGTCAACTCATGACCATCAGAGGAAACAGAACATCTGCTTTCCAGGATCAGAGGTGCCTCCTGCACCTGTATTTCTTCATCATAAGCAGATCTCAACTTGTGGCCATCAGGGGATGCAACGCATTTCAGTTCAGATGACTTTTGCACCTCTACTTTTTCAGTAGGGATAGGTCTCAATTCATGACTATCAGGCAACAGGAAAAGCCCACCTTCAGACGTCAGAGAAGTCACTGGGGCCTGTAGTTTTTCAGTAGGTGAGCTTACTGATTCACAAACATCAGCAGACTTGGAGAACCCACTTTCCAGTGGGAGAGGAGGCTTCTGTATCTCTATTTTTTCAACTGCAGTGGATGTCAATTCATAGCCTTCAGGCACAACAGAACACCTAAGCTCAGATGCCAACGACAGTTCCACACCTTCTGTTTTCTCGAAGTAATTGCATTTTGATTTATGGCCATCATGGCACACAGGAATTCCACTTTTAGACATCAAGAAAGATCCTGTACCCTCTATTTTTCCAGCAGGCAGGTATCTCGATTCATGCATTTCAGAAGATTCAGAGCAGTCAATTTCAAGTACTTGTGAAAGTGTCGGACCATCTAACTCTTTGTTAACAGATGATCTGGACTCATGAACTTCAGAAGACTTGCAGCTTTGTCCTACAGTTGTCAGTACAACTCCACGCATTTTTTCAAAAGATGACGCTGACATGAGGTCATCCGAGATCTCAACAGGACCACACTCAGATGTCAGGGAAACATCTGGAGCCTTGACTTTTTCAACAGATAAAGATCTTTGTTCATTTCCATCAGGTGACTTGAAGGACCCACCTTCAGACATCACCGGAAGCTCCTCTATTTGTGCAGCAAAGCTGGATCCTGATTCACGTCCATCAGGAGACTTGAAGCATCCACTGTCAGAAGCCAGAGAAGGCTCCTGCATCTGGCCCTTTTCAGTAGGCAAGGAGGCTGACTCACAGACATCAGGGAACGCAGAGCATGTAACTTCAGGTGCTAGGAAAGATTTTTGAGCCTCTACTGTTTCAAAAGAGAGTGACCTTGACTCAGGGCTGTCAGCCAACTTGGAAGATTCACTTTCAGGTACTTCAAAAACCTTCTGAAGCTCTGTTTTTTCAACGGGGATATGTCTCAATTGATGACCATCAGATGAGTCAGAGAGTACACTTTCAGACATCAGAGAAGACCCCTGAACCTCTGTTTTTCCAGAGGATGAGGAGATTGTCTTGTAATCATCAGAAGATACAGAGCATCCACTTTCAAGTGTCAGAAGAGGCTGTGGACCCTCTATTTCATTGAGAGAGGTAGATCTCGACTCATCTTCACGGGATGCGGAGAGCTGAAATTCTGCTACCGAAGAAGTTTCTGGATCTCCCTTTTTTTCAACAGATGAGGATCTTGACTCGGATGCAGAGTATGTAAGTTCAGGTAGTGATGAAGACTCCAGAGCCACTGCTTTTTCAGCAGATCCATTTTCAGATGTCACAGAAAGCTCCGAAACTTGTGTTTTTTCCACAGGCATGGATCTCAATTCCTGATCACCTGGGGTTTTAGAGCTATCAAATTCAGGCAGATCCACTGTTTTTTCAACAGACGAGGAGCTTTTCTCAAGAGCATCAGAAGTTTTGGAAAATCCACTTTCAGGTGCTGGCGGCAGCTCTGGGCCGTTCACTCCTTCAAGGGACAAAGCTACTGACATGGGACCATTAGAGGATTTGGAGGAGCTGCCTTCACTTGCAAAAGACGCTTCAGGAACGTCTGCTTTTTCAAGACATTTGGTTGACTCCTGAAGTTCAGAAGACTCCACACACTTGCTACTGCACTTTACTGAAGATAACTTACTCTCTCTTTTTTCTATAGATTTGGACCTTGACTTAATGCTATCAGAGGACTTAGAACGTTTCCGTTTGGATTTTTTTGAAGATTCCTTGCGTTTTTTTTCAACAGATCTAGACCTAGACTTGTAACGTTCAGAAGATTTTGAGCGGCGACGCTTAGATTTTCGTGAGGACTCCTTCTTTTTTTCCACTGATTTGGATCTAGACTTGTAACGGTCAGAGGACTTCGAGCGCTGACGTTTTGACTTCCGCGATGACTGCTTCCGATCTCTTTTTTCTACTGATCTGGATCTAGACTTGTAACGGTCAGAGGACTTCGAGCGCTGACGTTTAGACCTCCGCAGAGATGCCTTCCGACCTCTCTTCTCGACAGATCTTGACCTAGATTTTGAACGATCAGAGGAACCAGATCCTCTATGCCTGAACCTCCATGAGTATTCTTTGCCCCCTCTCTTTTCTGAAGACCTGGATCTAGATTTAGAACGGTCAGAGGACCTTGAACGTCTGCGGCGGGATCTCCAGGAGGACAACCTGCTCCCCCTCTTTTCCACTGACCGTGATTTAGACCTGTAGCGGTCAGATGACCTGGAACGTCTGCGCCCAGACCTTCGAGAAGACAGTCGCTTTTCCGCTGACCTGGACTTAGACCTGTAGCGGTCGGAAGACCTGGAACGTCTACGTCTGGACCTTCGGGACGACAGTCGCTTTTCCACTGATCTGGATTTAGACCTGTAGCGGTCAGAAGACCTGGAACGTCTACGTCTGGACCTTCGGGACGACAGTCGCTTTTCCACTGATCTGGATTTAGACCTGTAGCGGTCAGAAGACCTGGAACGTCTGCGCCCAGACCTTCGAGAAGACAGTCGCTTTTCCGCTGACCTGGACTTAGACCTGTAGCGGTCGGAAGACCTGGAACGTCTACGTCTGGACCTTCGGGACGACAGTCGCTTTTCCACTGATCTGGATTTAGACCTGTAGCGGTCAGAAGACCTGGAACGTCTACGTCTGGACCTCCCAGAGGACAATCTGCTCCCTCTCTTTTCTGCTGATCTGGATTTAGACCTGTAACGGTCAGATGACCTGGAACGTCTGCGCCTGGACCTCCGGGAAGACACTCTTCTCTCTCTCTTCTCCACAGATCGGGATCTAGATTTGGAATGCTTTTTTCTGGAATCTGAATAATTTCTGCTCCTAGAACGTGCTCTTTTAGAGGTCAAACGCCTGGAAGTAGAACGCGACCTTGATTTTTTCTTCCGCTTCCTAGACCTGGACTGAGACTTGGAGCGACTCCTTTTTTGTTTCTTTGCATCATGTTTTTTATCACTGCTTCTATGGCTACTTTTTTCAATAACTTTCTCAAGTCTCATCAGAGTCTCCTTCATGCGTGCCGCCACATCAGGCTGCACATCAGATGTTTCTGAATCTCTTTTCTCCGACTCCTGTTCTGGAGTTGCTTCTTTGACAGCCTCAGCCTGTGGAATGACTTCCGACTGGCTTGCCTCTGCCGTAAGTACTGGAACTGCTTCTGTAACAGTCTCAGGTACTGGAGCTGCTTCCAAATCTTTTGTCTCTGCCTCCAACCCCACAGCTGCTTCTGCATCTTTCAGCTCTACAACAGTCTCAGGAAGAGGAGCTGTTTCCAAATCTTTTGTTTCTGCTGCATGAGCTGGAGCTGCTTCCAACTGTTTTGTGTCTCTGATTATTTCAGATTCGGGAGTCCCTGCTGAATCTTTTTCATCTGCTACATGTGAAGAACTAAAAACTGTTCCTGCTATTAAAGGCTCAGATGCTTGAGTTTGCTCTGCATCTTTCTTCTCAACCAGTATCTCGCATTCTTGAGCTTGACCTGGAACTCTCACATCCATTTGTTGACCCTGCACCCCTTCTGCATATTGTACTTCCGCTGCCACTTCACGTTCCAGTGTTTCCAGATCTTTCATGTCCCCTGGTTTTGGAACTGCTTCAGAAGATTTCATTTCAGCAGCACTCAAGATTTCTGGAGCCTCTTCTGTACTCTTCCATTCTGCAGCAGGTTTTGGTTCTAGAACCGCTTGCAGATGTTCTTGCTTTTCAGTGTGCAAAGATTCTGGAACAGCTTCTGAAACATCCTCTAGAACATTCATTGCCTCCACATCTCCAGACTTTTGGGAAGTTTCCAAACCTTGGATATCCATGTGTACCTCAGGCTCTTGGACTGTTTCAGAACCTTTCACCTCTATTGCTGCAGACTCTTTTATGCTTTCCAACAACCTCACTTCTCTAGCTTCTGATGCTGGCTCCAAATATTTTGCTTTCATTGCTTTCTCCATTTCTGAAGCTTCTTCCAAATATTTTACACCAATAAGTGAGGGCTCATTTTTTTTTATGCTTGTCCTCTTTGTTGCAATTATATATTCTACAGTCGGTCCCTGAGTTCTCACATCTGTTGAAATCTTAGATTCCAAAGTTCCTTTCAAGTTTCTCACTTCTGTCACTATTTCTGATGCCATAGTTTTTTCTTCCACTCTGGGCAAAGACTCTAATACTGCTTCTGAATGACCTACTATTTGTTCCTGTACAGATTCTGAACTTGTTTCTAAAGTTTGCACCATCACTGTTTGCACAGGTTCTAGTATTGTTTCTTTGCTCCTTGCCTTTGCTTTGTTTGGATCTTCTGAAGCAACTTCAGAATGTGTCATTTCTCTAACCACCTCAGATGCCAATGTCCTTCCCAACCCTTGCACTAGTGTCCTTCTTTCAGATCCCACAACCATTTCCAAATTTTTCATCTGTGTTAAGGGTGAAGTTTTTGATCTCGCTTCCACATCTTTTACTTCTGCAACTGCCTCAACTTCCGACAAGTTGTCTAAACCTCTCACTTCTACAGTGGCAGACCTGGTAGCTAGTTCGGAGTCCTTTATCTCCTCTACCACCTCAGTTTGTGGGGTTCTTGTATGCGTCATGACCTGAGACTGTGAAATGATGGAACTCTTTGTTTTGCTTGCACCAAGAGGTTCTACAACTGCTTCTGCATGTTTTGGTTCTCTCTCTGCTGTGGTTTTCAAATGCATCATTCCTGATAATGCCTCAGACACCCTAACTGGTTCCATGCTTACACATGCAACCACAGATTCAGGAGTCCTTTCTGACCTTTCTTCTAAGGCAAGAAGTCCTGGACTTGCTTCCAAGACTTTGCTACCCATTGTGGTTTCAGAACACACATTTTCTCCTAAGCCCCTTGCCACTGCAAGGGTTCCAGGCTGCAAGACTGCTTCCAAAGCTTGTGTCTTTGCCGTACCTACAGACGCTGGATCTCCCAAATCCCTCACACCTTTCACGTGCAGGTGTGATGAAGATATCTTCATCTCTGTCCCGGCTCTGTTAAGGTCTGCTTCTGAATCTTTCCTTTCTGTCTCTGCTACAGGTCCTACAGTTGTTTCCAAACTTTTCACTGGTCTCACAGATCCAACTTTCATAGCTAGAAGACCGGCATCTGAGCCTGCTTCTACACCTGCCATACTGCCTAGATTTATCTCTGAACCTTTCGACAGCACTGTTGAACCTAGTGTTGCTGCTAAACCTCTGGCCACAGTCCCAAAATGGACAGCTTCTTCTGAAGCTTTCACACCTTCCATTTGCAAAGACAGTGAAGCTGTTTTCAAAGATTTTGCTTCCACCACAGTCAGTGGTCTTAGGACTCCTCCTGGACTCTTCACATCTTCTTTCTGCAAAGACAGGGGAGTGGCTTCCAAACCTCTCACATTTGATTCACTCTCAGATCTTGATTCTCTCAGCTCCTCTGGTTGTCTCAGTAATGAAGTACCTTCTGAATCTTTTGCCTCTGTTACAGCTACAGCCTTGAAAGTAGATTCTGAAATTCTTGAAGCACTAGTATTTTCCAGTTGCAGAGTAGCTTGACTTGTTTCTCGACCTTTTACTCCTGTTAGTGCTGCAACTTCCACAGTTGCTTGTGGACCTTTAAAACCCTCTGCCATCTGGATTTCTGGAGTTGTTTGGGGAACGAAGGTCTGCACAACCGCTACAGGTTCTGAAGTTGCTCTTAAACCTTTTGCGTCTGCAACCACGTTCACATCTGTCAATCCTGCTGGAAGAGCAGATTCCTGGGTTCTATCCACACTTGATTCTGTCAAGACTTTAGATTGTAGAAACACTCCTGATGCATTCAGCAGTGTTGCAGGATCAGTGGTACGTTCCACATCTTTGACTACTTCAGCTTGCAGACATTCTCGAGCTGCTTCGACATCTTTTGCTGTAACACCCACAGGTTCCACGATTGTTTCCAAAGTTTTGGGCTGTACTACAGCAATCGGCTGCAGAGCTTCTTCCAAAGCTTTCACATTTTCCATATGCACAGAGCTTCTAGCTGGTTCAATATCCTTCACTTCACCAGCTCCAGGTCCCAGAGGTATTCTGGCACTTTTTATTTCCACCTGGGTCACAGCAGTCGCTGTAGATATTTTAAAAGGATGTTGCAAAGATACGTGTGCCTTCAAGACACTTGAACCCTCCGTGGGGCTGCACTGCATCACTCTCAAAGTATCAGATGTAATTGAGGGCTTCGAGGCTGGCTCCAAAGTTCTGCTCACAGCCCCTAATTCCAAAGATCTTTCCACATTTCCCATATGCAGAGATTTTTCAGTTGCTTCTGGAATTTTCACTTCTTCCATGGCCACAGACATGTGAGCTACCTTCACAGTACTCAGATCTGCCTGATTTGCAGGTTTAGGAATTGTTGTCACATCACTTGCCGAAGACACAGATAGTGAAGTTGCGTCTAACTCTTTTGCTCCTCCCTGTGCCACAGATTGCAGAGATGCTTCTGAATATTTCAACACCTCCATGGTCTCAGACTCAAGAGCTGTATCCAAAACTTTTACTTCCCCACTGCCTTTAGATTTCAGAATAACTTCTGAACCTTTTAGTGCTTCTATTACCTCTGGAGCTAGAGTTGCTGCTGAATCTTTCTGAATTTCAGATTTACTGGCAACTCCAGATGGGATGCTAGATAAAGTATCATTTCCAGTATCAACAAGAACACCCTTTTCACTCACATTAATAGCTACAGGATAAATATTTTCGTGAGACTGTTTAATTTGTTCTTCTCTAGTGCAAATCTTAGTTTGAGTTATACTAGCATTTTCCTGGATATCAGATTGGCTGCCTTCTAAATTAAATGGAGGATTTGTTGCACACAAAGTGCCCTTCTCACTTCCAAGATTTTCCGTAGATTGCTGAAAATCTGTTCTTGAATGAGAAACAAGTCCTAAAGCTTGTCTATCAAGCTCCTCACTTGTTTTTACGCACAGTTCTTCTGGCTGCACGTGGGCAGCCAGGTTTGCATCTCCAAATCCTCCATGCTGTACACTCAGTCTGGAGCTTGATTTCTCTGGCATCACGTGAGAAGCAGGCTGCAACTCTGCATGTTCTCCATGACGTGTACTCAACTTTGACTCCTTTGGCTGCTTTTTATGCTTTTTCTCTTTCTTCCTTTTCTTCTTCTTTTTCTTCTTCTTCTTGCTTTTGTGTTTCTTGTTCTTCTTTGATTTTTTCCTAGGAATTTCATCTTCAGCAGTAGAGCTTCTTTTTGTAGACTGAGCACTATTTTTCACAGTATTTTTGTCTACATCTAGAAAAAATGATATTTTCCTTGTAAATGTTATTAAAACTATATGTTAAAAATTCTTTTAGACTAGTGACTAAGTGCAGAGGTACAAAAAATTTAAACTTGAAACCCATGCCTTCTTCACTAACCTACCATACACAAATAGCACACACTCCCTTTTCAGCCCAGTTACCCTTCCTCTCAGGAGTCACTTTAAGTTTTTTAAGTAAAAAAACTAGTTCTGCTTTCAAAAAGTTAACCAAATCTTCTTGGTCAGCAACACAGTTCCAGCGGGAACATGACTCTTTCCAAGAAGTAGCTGGATTTATTTCCACGTATATTCAACTGGGCACCGCATTCTTCCAGGAGGCTGGAGATGTGCTTTTGAACTACACCAAGCTGCACATGGAAGTGAAACAAGAATCCCCATTTTCCAGACAAATTATCTAAGCGGTGATACGCTTATTGTATAAAACGTGGCCGGCCCATCACCCCCTACTACGGTTTAACTTGTGAGTGAGCCCATATATTACTAGTGTGTTAGAAATTATCTAAGCGTATTTACTAAGTTCTTCAAACAAATTTGGGGGAACAGCATCTGCTTCCCCAATTCCAAACAATCTTTAAGGCATCGCAGGCAACCAGCTGCTCAGACTGGACTGCAGTTGCCACAAGCAACTGCAAACCTGCAAGTACCTAAATAAGCTTTTGCTTCAAACAGGAAAGTAGTTAATAAATTGAGGTGACTGCAGGAACAAGCAATCACTGAGGGGGAAAGAAAAGAGGAAGACTGAGGTTTCGATCACCTTCTTTTAATTCTGTATCCAATTTCCCTCTGAATTTAACCTGTTTTATGTTCTTACCCTTCTCTGGATCTAGTGCCACGTTTTCATGAGAAAGGCACTTCTATTAAGGGCAACTTGTTATAATTTCTGTTAAATATGAGCTATATATTCAACTCTGCTTGCATGTTACCTTCAATGATTATACTTATACTGCCCAGTGCAGCAATATGGATTCTCCAGTTACACTCTGGCCGTGATTACAAAGCATGCTATTTCAAGTGAACATCGCAAAAATCATTCAAAAACTGTTGGTTATTACAAAACTATTAAATAAGCATGACTTAAGATTCCACAAACAAGTCTCTCCGTATTTTTAAGCACACACATTTTTACAGAATAAACAGCTTAACAAAAAAAATAGTGTTTCCACCAACATTGTTGTGAATGCAGTGAAAGAGGACAATGAAGTAGAGTCAAATGACCTTTTCTATACAGCATTTTCAGATAATCTCTGTTGTCCAACAGCAACGTTAACTCCTTTCCAGATATGAACAGTGGGATCGTTTACCATGGGTTAAGTTTATTAACTTGTTACTTATTACCATGTTAGCTTGCCTCATTCTTCCTTGACAGAAGAACAAAAATACAAAAAATAAAAAGATGCCAGCCCAAAGTGCTGTTTATACAGCATAAATGAATGACTGTTGAAAATGCTCAAGGTAAACAAGCCACTGTACATAAAGGAAAGAAAAAGCAATTCCAAAACCTTGCAAAAAGAATCTCTGAAATAAACAATTTTCTACACTGTCTCTTAAGGAAAAGACAAAAAAAAAATCACTCTGGAACTATACTTACCAAGCACATAGCAGTCACCTATGCTTCAACTCCAAAAAATTAGAAATGCAATTAATTAGAGCCTTCATCTCACTAACTCTTCAGAAATTTTACGGAAAGCACTAGTCCCATGAGAAGGGATACTCACATGCAACTTTTTGGCATAATAAATCCAGTTATTGAAGTTATGACATTGCTACATAAAAATTTCTTAACCTTTGTAAGCTTGCAATCCGAGTATCTACATTTTAAACATAAGTGCATTATTCATTTTAAAACAACAAAGCATCTTACTCCGACAGAACAGTTAATCATACAGTTCTGAATTCTAATAAAATAATTTTTAGAAATAATCTTGCAAACCAATCCAAAACAACAAAACAAACAATGCTTCTATCCATCAGTACCAGCTTTGTTAGTAAGAACTGCTCATTGAGATCTTGAAGTAAGTATATACAAAATAAAGAACAAATATATATATATATGGATATTATTTATACATTTTAGCATTATCATAATGGAGAGAAAAGAAAAATAACTTTTTTGCACACTAATGCTTTCATATAATGACCAGCTTCAATTTTTAAATTATGTATTTCTCTGTCCATCTATGGTTGTAAACCACAGCAGACAAAAAAAAAACTTAACAAGCATTACAATAGATATACAACTTGTCGGATGAAGCTCGGTGAGAGGAGCAGTACTGCAAAGTACTTTTTCATCTCTGTAAAACTGATTCAATTTTAAGCACTATGACAACCTTCTTAAACACGTACGTATTTGCCAAATGTGTTTTCATTTACCTGATTTGCACTGCAGCTCTGTATCAAGGGCTCCAGAGAGCACTTCCTCTATTTTCTGCACTATCTGATCATTCTGACGACTCCCAGCACCAGCAACAGTGTCATCTGAAGGGTTGGCTTGCTCAGCTGGGATTGTGTCACCATTGGGCTGGCCTTCTACCTTTCCACTAACCAAAAAAAATATCAACATAATACAAGCAATTTTGAGCTTTTTTTGACTTTTCTTTTTATTCATAAGCATTTATTATACTCAACCCTTCAAAACAGTATTTTAGCCTCCTGAAGAAGCCATGCTTTTAGTGAAACATCTACCTTTTGATTGACTTTCACTTATTCACAACAGAGCACGTTGTGACAACTGAGTACTAGGCACAAGGAGGGAAAACACGTTCTCGAATGTGCCACGGTCCCCATGCTTTATGTAAGAACTTGCATAGGCTCCCCTCACAAAATAAGCACCCATCACTCACTCTTCTCCAACAAATTTTGCTCACTTTGCCAGATAAGGCCGGGGAAAACCAGGCGAGCTTAAATGCACTAAGGCAAATCGCACAGACGCTCGCCCCTTCCCCTCTTGCCCCGACACAAGAGACCAAGACCGAAAACCCGTGCGTGAAAACGGCCCCCGGGCCCCGCCATGTTGACGCCGAAATGACCCTCAAGAAGCCCAGGCCGCGGCCCGTCTCCCTCCGTCCCCAGGCGGGGCCCGCGCACTCCCCCCGCCGCCCCGCTCCAGCACACCCCTCCTCTCCCTGCGCGCTAGGCCCCGGCGGCGCCGCCTCCCCCGCCGCCGCGGGCAGGCTCGTTACCCGCTGTGCTGCTGCTGCTCTTCCTGGATCTCCCGGAATTTGCTAACCACAAAGGACCGAAAGATCTGCTCGATATTAGTCGCCATGACAGCCCTACCGCACCGGGCCCCCCTCCGCGCTCCGCTTTCCTTCCTGCCGAGACGCGAGGCCTCCGATATCCCACAAGGCACCGCCGCAACGAGAGGCCGAGGGCTCTTGCTGACGTGCTCGCTAGACGCCCCCTCGCCATTGGCTGCCCTCTAACGGATGACGTCGCGGGGGAGGGAGAACAGCCCGGGCCTCCGGACGGCCGCTCTA